GGTCTGGTGAGGAACTTGCACTAGGGGCTCCAAGAAGGTCTGGTGAGGAACTTGCACTAGGGGCTCCAAGAAGGTCTGGTGAGGAACTTGCACTAGGGGCTCCAAGAAGGTCTGGTGAGGAACTTGCACTAGGTGCTCCAAGAAGGTCTGGTGAGGAACTTGCACTAGGTGCTCCAAGAAGGTCTGGTGAGGAACTTGCACTAGGTGCTCCAAGAAGGTCTGGTGAGGAACTTGCACTAGGTGCTCCAAGAAGGTCTGGTGAGGAACTTGCACTAGGGGCTCCAAGAAGGTCTGGTGAGGAACTTGCACTAGGGGCTCCAAGAAGGTCTGGTGAGGAACTTGCACTAGGGGCTCCAAGAAGGTCTGGTGAGGAACTTGCACTAGGTGCTCCAAGAAGGTCTGGTGAGGAACTTGCACTAGGTGCTCCAAGAAGGTCTGGTGAGGAACTTGCACTAGGTGCTCCAAGAAGGTCTGGTGAGGAACTTGCACTAGGTGCTCCAAGAAGGTCTGGTGAGGAACTTGCACTAGGTGCTCCAAGAAGGTCTGGTGAGGAACTTGCACTAGGGGCTCCAAGAAGGTCTGGTGAGGAACTTGCACTAGGGGCTCCAAGAAGGTCTGGTGAGGAACTTGCACTAGGTGCTCCAAGAAGGTCTGGTGAGTTGGGTACATTCAGTAGGATTATACAGTCCTAGAGTTGGAAGGCTCCCCAGTGCTTTCCCTCCTGCTGGGAATGAAGGCACCCTCCAGGACCTCCCAGCAGACGGCTATCCAGGTGAACTCCATCCAAAAGCATTAAAAAACAGGTAGAAATCACTGGGTTGCTGTGAGTTTTCCAGGCTGTGTGGCCATGTTCCAGAAGCATTCTCTCCTGACATTTCGCCCACATCTATGGCAGGCATCCTCAGAGGTTGAGGGGCCTCTTGGAAACTAAGCAAGTGGGGTTTATATACCTGTGGAATAATGTCCAGGGTGGGAGAAAGAAAGAACTCTTGTCTGCTTGAGGCAAGTGTGAATGTTGCAGTTGGCCACCTTGATTAGCACTGAATGGTCTTGCAGCTTTAAAGCCTGACTGGATGCTGCCTGAGGGAATCCTTTGTTGGGAGGTGTTAGCTGGTCAATGATTGTTTCTTGTCTGGAATTTCCCTGTTTTTTGAGAGTTATTCTTTATTTATTGTCCTGATTTCAGAGTTTTTAATACTGGTAGCCAGATTTTGTTCATTTTCATGGTTTCCTCCTTTCGGTTGAAATTGTCCACATGTTTCTTGTAGGTTTCAGTGGCTTCTTTGTGTAGCCTGACCTGGTGGTTGTGAGAGTGGTCCAGCATTTCTGTGTTCTCAAATAATCTGCTGTGTCCAGGTTGGTTCATCAGGTGCTCTGCTATGGCTGACTTCTCTGGTTGGAGTAGTCTGCAGTGCCTTTCATGTTCCTTGATTCGTTTGGGCAATGCTGCGTTTGGTGGTCCCTATGTAGACTTGTCCACAGCTGCATGGTATACGGTAGACTCCTGCAGAGGTGAGAGGATCCCTCTTGTCCTTTGCTGAGCGTAGCATTTGTTGAATCTTCTTGGTGGGTCTGTAGATAGTTTGTAGGTTGTGTTTCCTCATCAGCTTCCCTATGCTGTCCATAAATCATAGAAACCTAGAATCAAAGAGTTGGAAGAGACCTCCTGGGCCATCATCCAGTCCAACCCCATTCTGCCAAGAAGCAGGAATATTGCATTCAATCACCCCTGACAGATGGCCATCCAGCCTGTGTTTAAAAGCCTCCAAAGAAGTAGCCTCCATCACACTCTAGGGCAGAGAGTTCCACTGCTGAACTGCTCTCACAGTCAGGAAGTTCTTCCTCATGTTCAGATGGAATCTCCTCTCTTGTAATTTGAAGCCATTATTCCATTGCATCCTAGTCTCCAGGGAAGCAGAAAACAAGCTTGCTCCTTCCTCCCTTTGGCTTCCTCGCACGTATTTATACATGGCTATCATATCTCCTCTCATCCTTCTCTTCTTCAGGCTAAACATGCCCAGCTCCTTAAGCCGCTCCTCATAGGGCTTGTTCTCCAGACCCTTGATCATTTTCGCCCTCCTCTGGACACATTCCAGCTTGTCAATCTCTCTCTTGAATTGTGGTGCCCAGAATTGGACACAGTATTCCAGGTGTGGTCTAACCAGAGCGGAATAGAGCATGGGGAGCATGGCTTCCCTAGATCTAGACACTATGCCCCGGAGTGTGGTGGAGGCTCCTTCTTTGGAAGCTTTTAAGCAGAGGCTGGATGGCCATTTGTCAGGGGTGATTTGAATGCAATATTCCTGCTTCTTGGCAGGGGGTTGGACTGGATGGCCCACGAGGTCTCTTCCAACTCTTTGATTCTATGATTCTATATCTATGATGCAGGCCAAAATCCCATTGGCTTTTTTTGCCGCCACATCACATTGTTGGCTCATGTTCAACTTGTTGTCCACGAGGACTCCAAGATCTTTTTCACACGTACTGCTCTCGAGCCAGGCATTGTCCCCCATTCTGTATCTTTGCATTTCGTTTTTCCTGCCAAAGTGGAGTATCTTGCATTTGTCACTGTTGAACTTCATTTTGTTAGTTTTGGTCCATCTCTCTAATCTGTCAAGATCGTTTTGAATCCTGCTCCTGTCCTCTGGAGTATTGGCTATCCCTCCCAATTTGGTGTCGTCTGCAAACTTGATGATCCTGCCTTCTAGCCCTTCATCTAAGTCATTAATAAAGATCCTGCAGGACCGGGCCCAGGACGGAACCCTGCGGCACTCCACTTGTCACTTCTTTCCAGGATGAAGAGGAAGCCTTGGGGAGAATCACTCTCTGTGTTCGTCCACTTAACCAATTACAGATCCACCTCACCGTAGTTTTGCCTATCCACATTGGACTAGTTTCCTTGCCAGAAGGTCATGGGGGACCTTGTCGAAGGCCTTACTGAAATCCAGGTACGCTACATCCACGGCATTCCCCGCATCTACCCAGCTTGTAGCTCTATCGAAGAAAGAGATCAGATTAGTCTGGCATGACTTGTTTTTGATAAATCCATGTTGACTATTAGCGATGACTGCATTTGTTTCTAAGTGTTTGCAGACCGCTTCCTTCACAATCTTTTCCAGAATCTTGCCCGGTATCGACGTGAGGCTGACCGGACATTGGTCATTGTTTGGGTCATCCTTTTTTCCCTTCTTGAAGATTGGGACCACATTGGCCCTCCTCCAATCTGCTGGAACTTCTCCCGTTCTCCAAGAACTCTCAAAGATGGTTGCCAATGGTTCTGAAATGACTTCCGCTAGTTCAGGGGTAGGGAACCTTTGGCCCTCCAGCTGTGGTGGACTTCAACTCCCACAATTCCTTGAGGCTCGGCATTGGGCCAAGGTAAGCCTTTGGGGCGAATGCCGAGCCTCAAGGAATTGTGGGAGTTGAAGTCCACCACAGCTGGAGGGCCAAAGGTTCCCTACCCCTGCGCTAGTTCCTTCAATACTCTGGGGTGTAGTTGATCTGGCCCTGGAAGGGGACTTGAACTCATTTAGGGTGGCCATGGTAAGAACACTTTTCCTCTGGGTGGATCTTGATCTTGACTCTCGTGGCTTGTTCTTGGTCTTGCAGCCCTTCTGATGTCTGTAGTGAAGTCTCCATTGGCCTGGAAAGCCCATTATTCCAAGAGGGAAAGGGATCTGGGAATCTTAGTGGGCCACGATTTGAGGCTGACCCAAGAGTGTGGTGTGGCAGCCAAGGAACTCAATGTGATTCTAGGCTGCATTAGGAGGAGCCTCGGGTCCAGATCAAGGGAAGTCCTCGTTCCTCTCCAATCTGCTTTGCTCAGACTCACCTGGAATAATGATCCTATGTCCAGTTCTGGGCAAAGCAATTCAGGATGGGAGGTGGATAGGATGGGGGGGGGGGTGTCCAGAAAAAGGTGATCAACGTGGTCAAAGTTCTGGAAACCACGGCTCCCTCTGACGTTTAGGCAGCTGGGCCCATTTAGTCTTTTTGTGGTCCAAAAAGCAAAATGTCCTTGTGATGATTTTTTCCCCTGACTTTGTGAACAATGCTATAATTGATTTCAAGGGGGAAGTGTTACCACAAATCCAATTTCCTTTAAATTTTATGAACATGGGTGGGACCGTTCATAAAAATAATCTTTGCTTTGGGGTGTGACTCCATATGTTGGTTGTTTGTTCGGGTGACAGGTGTTCCTTCTGTTTTCCTATAAATATTTCTGGGATCTACACAGCCAGTTCATACAAGAAACCCTCCAGAGAGAGACGTTGGACCATCTGCCCAGAAGAAGCAAGCAAAGAGGTGAGACCAAGGCATCTTCTCTAGCTCTTCCCTAGTTCCTCTCTTGCCCATCCTCTCTTCAGTCTGCATTTCTGAGAGCAGACACTCAACAAATAGAAAGGATAGGGGAACTACCCAAATCTTCAGTTACTTTCCTGCTTAGATATTTTTCATGATCTTCAATTAATGCCTCTTCCAAACCACTATAACCAACATAACTTCACAGTGGGCTTCCCCAGATCGGGGTTTAGTTGTTACCAAAGTGCTCTTATTTCTGTCTCTTCTGACTCTTTGCAAGTTTGCCATTGCCTTCTTCAACTGAAAGACACAGATCTGGTTAGGATCCCTTGAAATGTCAAAAGTGAGTGAGATTGGAAGTTTTCACAGAGGTCTTCCTTCAGCCAAAAGAAGCCGGGAAGGCCCATTGTCCACGATGGGGGACCATATTTTGAAGATGAGGACTTAAGAAGGTCCTCTGATTCCATTCTCCTTCCAAAAACCCAGATTCAAAGGGGCGAGAAGAAGGTTATTCCTGTTCTTCTAGGACATGAACAAATAGAAGGAGTCTTTGGCCATATTCTACAAGAACAGGAATAACTGTATTTGGTGGATGCTGGACATCCAGATGGTGATGAGATTGAGATCCCCACACTTGCTATTTCCTTAGAGGGGAAGATAGTAGAAACTTTTCATGCTTGTTGTTCTTTTCCAGAAGAACCAGAAGATGGGACCGGTGTCATATTTTGAGCTCTGCCTCCTGGGCTGCCTGGCCTTCAGCCTCTCCGTGGAAGGTGAGCATTGAGTCTTTCGGCCAAAAGGTTTGTTATGATGCAGTGAAAGGACTTTAAGGATGCAGTGAAAGAAATGTAAACAAGTTACATCAGACTGATCATATCCCCTTTTTGATAGGGTTACTACTTTGGTGCATGACGTGAACAGTGTGAATGTAACATACCTTCATGTCAGTAAAAGCTTTGACAAGGTCCTCCATGATGTTCTTGCAAAATGTGGTGCTCCTTTGAGCTGGATAGGAAGCTGGTTTATTGGCCCCAAAGGGTGCTCCTGCACAATGGCTCCTCTTTCTTCTTTCTGGAGAGAAGGGACCAGTAGAGAAGGTTCAGCCTCTTTACCAATGATATGGATGTTGCAATAGAAGGCACACTTATCATATTTGCAGATGACACTAAATTAGGCATGAGAGCTAATACCCAAAAGGCAGTAACATACCTTGATTTCAATAAGAGCCTTGACAAGGTCCTCCATGATGTTCTTTGCAAAATGTGGTGCTCCTTTGAGCTGGATAGGAAGCTGGTTAACTGGCCCCAAAGGGTGCTCCTGCACAATGGCTCCTCTTTCTTCTTTCTGGAGAGAAGGGACCAGTAGAGAAGGTTCAACCTCTTTACCAGTGATATGGATGTTGAAATATTATGTATTCATTATTTATTTATTTACAGCTTTTATATTCCGCCCTTCTCACCTCGCAGGGTACTCAGGGTGGATTACAGTGTACACATATATGGCAAACATTCAATGCCAATTTTTGACATACAAACATATACAGACATACACAGAGGCTATTGAACTTTTTCTGGCCGTCGGGGAGCTGTCGCTTTCATCGTCCATCTGATTGGTGTCTTGTGTCCAAATTTGGTGTCAATTCATCCAGTGGTTTTTGAGTTATGTTAATCCCACAAACGAACATTATACACACACACACACACACACAGGTTTAGATCCATTCCAGGTTGCTGTTGGGCTTTGCATATCCGGGGGTATTCAGAAGATGCTCTTTTCTCCTTTCCATAAGGGATTCCTGCCAGGAATCGGTCGTTGTCTCTCGATCTGCCGCGATGTCCTTCTGGAGCCTTGAAGTACGACGACATGTGCTATGAATTTCACGAGAATGCTTTGCCATGGCAAGATGCCGAGGTAAGTCAAAGGGAAGCCGAGAAGAATGCTGAATGGTCCATCTCTTCCTGGAAGCCACGAGAACTCACAGACCCACATAACATCCCGTATAGACTACTGCAATGCTCTCTACATGGGGTTGCCCTTGAAGACTGTCCGGAAGTTTCTTGGTCCAACAGTCAGCAGCCAGGGAGCATACAACTCCTCTGTTGCGCCAGCTCCACTGGCTGTCGGTTTGCTATCGGGCACAATTCAAAGTGCTGGCTTTAGCCTATAAGGCCCTAAATCAGTGATGGGCAACCTTTTCAGCTTGGTGTGTCAAAATGCACCAAAAAAGTGAGCATAATTCAGGTGGGGTGCCACTTTGAGAAAAAAACAACCATAATTTTGCGATAGTTATAGTTTAAATAACAAAAATGCATAATTGTAATATATAACCGTATTTAATAACCCAAAAACTAATTATTTAACTTACCTGCTTAGTGACTTCTTTGTTCATCCTTCAGTCGGTTTCTTTTGTTGGTCTTGATATTATTTAACACTGAGAATAAGGTCTCACAAAAGTATATGGCCACGTGTCATCAAAAATAGTTACGCGTGTCAGTGCTGACACGCGTATCATAGGTTCGCCATCATGGCCCTAAATGGTTCTGGCCCAACTTACCTGTCCGAAGGCATCTCCTCCTATGAACCAGCTAGGGTGTTAAAATCCTGTGGGGAGGACCTGCTTTTGGTCCCGCCTGTGTCACAAGTACATTTGGCGGGGACAAGAGACAGGGCCTTCTCAGTGGTGGCCCCTCGGCTGTGGAACGCCATTCCTCCACATATTAGATCGGTCCCCTTGCTGTTGACATTTTGGAGGAAAGTGAAGACTTGGTTGTTTGAGCAGGCATTTGAACAGGCAGTGTAATGAACATAGGAATATGGAACAATTGGATGATGAGACTGGATCTTGATTTTAACTATGAGACGCTAATGAGATGTTTTATTGATTTATATTGACTGTTTATTATGCTACTGTTTTAATTGTTTCTAACTGTTTTATCATGTTTTTGAGCATTGAATTTTGCTATTGTTAACTGCTCTGAGTTGCCTGAGGGCTGAGAAGAGCAGCATACAAATATAGCAAATAAATAAATAAATAAATAAACATGATGCCATTTGGTTGTTGAATCAATCTGTGAATCGATCAATAGCCCAAGATCAATTCTCCCAATATGAGACCCAAGCCATTCACAATACAAATTTTAAAAGAGTGCAGTCACGCCTCCGTGCCCACAACTGCAACCACCCACAGCTTGAAATTAACAACAACAACAAAAAGGAAATGTTAATTTCCCCATTGTCTAAAAGGGGGCACATTGGACTACTCGTTTGCATTGACAGGTTGCCATCTTGTTTCCTCCCTCTCTCTTTGCAGAATAACTGCTGGCGATGGAGAAAAGGTCACCTGGCGACCATTGAGTCTGCAAGGGAGGAAAAACTGGTTTCCGACTACATCAGCAGGGAGGGCAACACACAGATCGCCTGGATCGGCCTCCAAGGCACAGCCTCTTCCTCCGTGAGCACTTCATCTTCTATGTTTGTCACCAGAATAATGGCTAGCCAACCACTACACTGGAGCAGCTATTGGATGAGTGGGGTTGACTTCTATGTTGAGTTACGCAGTGGCGTGGGGCTTCCCGCACCTGGCAGGAAGCGTCCTTTCTGCACAGGCCTGGCAGGATGCACCTCTCGGTGGTGGCGGTTAGGCCTGTGCGGTTTCGTTTGTTAATTCGTTAATTCGTTATTAATTCGTTATTTTTACCATTTCCGAAGCGATATTGAAACATATTTCCAAACCCGGAAGGGTTTTTAAATATCGAACCAGCAACCCCCATAGTTTTAACGAGCCTCCGCTCGTTTCGTTAATGGGGTGGAGGCTGCTGGAGTGCTGGTGCATGGGAGCCAATCCGGCGCTCCCAAACAGTGCACCACCATGGGTCCGTGGCTGCCTGTTTTTGATTGGCCGGCGAGCCCTTTCAAAGCGGCTCCGCGCGGCCCGTAGCTTCAAGAGGGCGAGGGAGTTTGCATTGGGTTGGCTTGGCAATGGCTGCTAGCAACTGGGATTGGATTCATTCCTTGCTGCTGTGAGTGCTGCTTGCTTCATTTGCTGTCTCTTGCCTGTGTTTGGTCCACATTTGGGCCATTTTTTGGTTAATTTTCCATTTTAAAATATTTTTAATATTATTTTTTAATATTATTTTTAATATTATTTTTTAATATTTTTTAATATTATTTTTTAATATTATTTTACTATTATTCTTAAAAAATATTCTAAAAAAGAAAAGACTCTTCTGTTGGTGTTTTCTCTCATTTGCTGTCTCCTGCCTGTGTTTGGTCCACATTTGGGCCATTTTTTGGTTAATTTTCCATTTTAAAATATTTTTTAATATTATTTTAATATTATTTTAATATTATTTTAATATTATTCTTAAAAAATATTCTAAAAAAGAAAAGACTCTTCTGTTGGTGTGTGCTCTCATTTGCTGTATCCTGCCTGTGTTTGGTCCACATTTGGGCCATTTTTGGTTAATTTTCCATTTTAAAATATTTTTTAATATTATTTTAATATTATTCTTAAGAAATACAAAAAATATTCTAAAAATTCGTTAATATTTACAAAATTTCTTAAATACCAAAACTTTTTTTGGGAAAGTTTTGTAATTATTTTAAATATCGAAACAAAAAAACACCCCAATTACAAATCGATTTTAGAAACAATTTTTTTCTTGATGAAACAGGCCTAGTGGCGGTGATCTCCCATGGGCAGGTGCAGTGGTGCTTTGGCCTGGGCCCGCACTCGTGGCTCGACCAAGAACCTGGTCATGGGGCTGGGGCAGCACGAGCGGATCGAGACCCCATGCGCAAGCGCAGACGAGATGCGCTTCTACACCGAGCACCTTATTGACTTCGCCAAGCAGGGTGATACAGTGTCACGATGGCAGGGCTCTGCTTTATTCAGGTAGAGATGAACCAAACAAACCCCCAGTTTGTGTTAGCAATTTAATTAAAGCAGCACTTACTGTCTGGCTGTTTTAATAGTCCAAAACATAAAACATAGAGATAGCACTCAGCCACAGAATGCAAAACAAAACTGACAGCAAACGCTGTTGCAGGTTCAAGATAAGAGTTCAATGAGCCAAGTCCAGGGATCAAGAGTCTATACCAGGGGTCCTCAAACTTTTTAAACAGAGGGCCAGGTCACAGTCCGTCAAACTGTTGGAGGGCCGGATTATAATTTGGAAAAATGAATTAATTCCTATGCACATCTTATTTGTAGTACAAAAAAAAAACCTTAAAAGAATACAATAATTAAAATGAAGAACAATTTTAACAAATATAAACTTATTAGTATTTCAATGGGAAGTGTGGGCCTGCTTTTGGCTGATGAGATAGGATTGTTGTTGTTGTTGTGTGCTTTCAAGTTGATCCAGTATTAGGTTGACCCTGAGTGAGGGCCGGGTAAATGACCTTGGAGGGCCGCATCCGGGCCCCGGGCCTTAGTTTGAGGACCCCTGGTCTATACCGTAGTCAAAAGCCAGTCCAAAGATTCAAGGTTCCAAGGGTTCAAGAGACAGGTCAGGATACCGAAAATCCACAAACCTGGGGGAAAACCAGCAGCATCTACCACCAAGATAATACAAATGCATTTCTCCCAAAGATCAGTCCCAAGGCTAGCTCCTTAGATCCAGAAACACTCAGCTGCAACCCATCTCTTGCATATCTCCACACTTGATGAACTCTTACTTACAGATTACCCTTTAGAACGAAGACTTACATTAACCCTGTCATGAATGACTTTTCAATAACTTTGAAGCATAGGTTCTTTTTATTGCAATGTCCAGTGTGAGAAGGTATATCAGATTACAGAAAACATTTAGACAAAGAATGACATCGGACATACAGACATACAGATTCTATACAACTACATTGGATTTACAATTACATTGGCTAACAAACAAACCAAAGGAGAGTTACATTTTCAATCACCATTCACACATGTGTACACTCATTGATTCTCATGTATCCAAATATTACCATATCCTTTTCTCCTTCCTTGGAGAAGCACCTCTTAGGCCAGACCCTGTTTTCCTGCAGCCTGCCAACGCATAGTTCCATAACTTCCATAATTCCAAAACTTCAAAACGCTGAGATACCAAAACTTCTTTCCCTAAGAACAATGCCAAGGACCAGATCTGTGTTTTCCATACAGCAGAACCTGACTCCCTGCACAAAATCTAAGACTCCAAAAGTGCACTTCTTCCTCTTCCCTTGAGAAAGAAGCCCCAAAGTGACCAGGCTGCTCCCGTGCAATTCTGCCACTCTCCATAGGGACACTATCTCTCTCCTTCCCATGGAGCAGAGCGTGGTGGGTGAACCAGACTCCTCAGGTCTGCCACACTTTGAGCATTATTAGACGGAGTCTTTTATAGGAATAGTCTGCTGATGTCGTCCCAAAGTTGTAAATTAATGATAGACAACTTCCATCCTGGCTCCATCTCAGTTTCCTGGCCAGATGTTGATCTTTCTTGATTGGTGTTGATCTTATGTTGACTTCCTTCGTAACATAAGGAAGGTTGCAAACATTTCTGTTATCACTGTCCCAGTTCTTATCAGAGTTTACTCTTCAGATCTCATGAACAGGTTTTAATCACAAAGCAGCAAGCAGGTAGTTAGTCATTGCAGGCCTTAATATTATACTGGTGTTTCCAAAATACATCCATCCATCCTTCCATTAATTCCCACACTTCATATTAAATTCATATTTGTCAAATCTGCACATTGAATTTCTTGTGACACCCTTCCATCACCAACTGCTAGGCCTACCACCACCAACCATCAACAACTACAGAACATGATACATGACACCACCAACAACCACCAACAACTACAGAACATGATACATGACACATGGGCCCTGGGCCATGCACATGGCTGACTTCTGGCTCACCGAGAAGGATTTGATCCATGTGTATACTGTCCCTATTTCGTGGATTTTCACTTGTTGCGGGTGGTCCTGGAACGGAATAAGAAGCTGGGCATGTTTAGCCTGAAGAAGAGAAGGCTGAGAGGAGATATGATAAGGGCCATGTATAAATATGTGAGAGGAAGCCACAGGGAGGAGGAGGGAGCAAGCTTCCTTTCTGCTTCCCTGGAGACTAGGATGCAATGGAGCAATGGCTTCAAACGACAAGAGAGGAGATTCCATCTGAACATGAGGAAGAACTTCCTGACTGTGGGAGCCGTTCAGCAGTGGAACTCTCTGCCCCTGAGGGAGTGTGGTGGAGGCTCCTTCTTTGGAAGCTTTGAAACAGAGGCTGGATGGCCATCTGTCAGGGGTGATTTGAATGCAATATTCCTGCTTCTTGGCAGAATGGGGTTGGACTGGATGATGGCCCAGGAGGTCTCTGCCAACTCTATGACTCTATGATTCTAAGTGAGTGAATAATACCATACCGCCTTAGAAACCTCTCAGTTAATGGAAGTGATCTTTTCTCTCTCCTACAGGTTCTCACCTGGGCCTGGATCGATGGCACTCCATACTCTCCTGGATCCGCTCTTTGGGATGGCAGGAGACCCACCACCTCAAGCTCAACCACCCAGTGCCTTTCGCTCTACAATGTGCAAAAACTAGGAGGTATATATGAAGGCAAATTCCTTAGGAGGAAAGGCACCCTTCACCGCTTAGCTAGGATTTCATGTCCTGTGTGAAAGCAACAACATCCTGGGCTACAGTTGCATTCTTCTCATCTTGTGCTTTTACCTTACAGCTCCTGTGAGGTGGTACCAGTATGGCTGCACCTCAAGACTACCGTATGTTTGCAAGTACATGGCAAGGTATCAGATCCAGAGTGACAGCCCATAAATGGGATACGTAGAGAAGACATCTCCTGAGATCCTGGGGAAAAAGTTTGCATCTAGCAACACTGCAAATGCTCAAATGCTCCAGCGTCACGAAGAGACCGAGCCCTTCTTCTATTCCCAGGGTGTCGGTCGCTACCTTTTCCAAAGCATGCCCAATCTCTCTCCCTTCTTCTCTCAGATAATGTTTGTGCTTTTGACCCTTCCTCCAATAATCCCAGTTTGCTTTGTAATTCCTGCTCAAAGAAGGTGAATCCCAACTTGCTTTTCCTCCCAACTTGCAAAAGGCCTTTTTATTAGTCTTCAGAGCCATCTCATTCCCTGGGTATAGAATGAAGATCAGGTGGCGAAACATAACACCTTCTAATGGAGAAGATCCCACCCTTGGTCTGAAATCCAAATTTTGCACAGGAGATATTTTGAATCTTGTGAAATGATGGTGTTGTGGAAGGAGGGTGGATTTTTAAAAATCTTGAGAATGCCTGAGCTTGTCTTTTCCAAATGGTCCAGCTAGATGAGAAGAAACCAAGAAAGTAAGGAAACCAATGAAGCAAATGGGTGGGTTGGGGTGTTGGCCTTCTGGCCGGCTTTTGCCTTCTCTGCTGCCTCCCTCCCCATTTCTGCTGCCTCTGAGATAATAATAAATTCTTTTCTGAGTATAAATTGTTTGTTTATTTATTTAGTACTAGCTTGGGGACCTGGCGTTGCCCGGGTTATTTGAGAAAGGAATATTGTATCAAGTTTGGTCTTTATCAGTTATTTATATGGGTGGCAGTGGTCTCAGGAAGTTAGTGAAGGTACTGCGAGTCCCATCATCTGTGGTCCATCCTCCTCCAAACTGCACCGGGATGAAGAGTGGGTCATGGGGGCTCTGTGTGCCAAGTTTGGTCTCGGTCCATCATTGCATGAGTGTCGGTGAGGTTTCAGGAAGTGAGCAAAGGTACTGCAAGTCCCATCATCCATCATCCGTCCTTCTCCAAACAGCACCAGGATGTAGAGTGGCTCATGGGGGCTCTGTGTGCCAAGTGTGGTCTTGATTGGTCATTAAATGAGGGTTGCAGCAGTCTTGGGAAGTGAGTGGAGGTACTTAAAGTCCCATCATACATGGTCTGTCCTCCTCGAAAGTACACCAGAATGTAGAGTGGGTCATGGGGGCTCCGTGTGCCAAGTTTGGTCTTGATCAGTCATTGGCAAGGGTCTCAGTGGACTCAGGAAGTGAGTGAAGTGACTGCATGTCCCATCATCCTCTAAATTCTTCCAAACCGCAGCAGGATGTAGAGTGGGTCATGCGGGCTATCTGTGTGAATTCTGATCCTGATCCATCATTGTTGGCAGTTTTATTGGTCTCAGGAAGGGCGTTGAGGTATTGCAAGTCCCATCATCCATGGTGCATCTTCCTCCAAACCGTAGAAGGATGCAGAGTGCATCATGGAGACTCTGTGTGCCACGTTTGGTATTTATCAGTAATTGGATGAGGTTTGCAGTGGTTTTAGGAATTGAGCTAAGATACTGCAAGTCCCATAATCCATGATCCATCCCCGTCCAAACCACACCAGTGGGTCGTGAGAGGTGGGTCATGAGAGGTCTATGTGTCAAGTTTGGTCTTAATCAGTCATTGGATGAAGGTCACAGAGGTCTCAGAAAGTGAGTGATGGTACTGCAAGTCCCATCATCCGTGGTCCATCCTCCTCCAAACTGCAGTAGGATGTAGAGTGGGTCATGGGGGTTCTGTGTGCCAAGTTTGGTCTTTATTGGTCATTGGATGAATGTTGCTGTGGTTTCAGGAAGTGAGTGACGGTACTGGAAGTCCCATCATCCATGGTCCCCCCTCCTCCAAGTGCAGCAGGATGTAGAGTGGGTCATGGGGGTTCTGTGTGCCAAGTGTGGTCCTTATTGGTCATTGGATAAGGGTCACAGCGGTCTCTGGAAGTGAGTGAAGTTACTTCAAGTCCCATTATCCATGGTCCATCCTCCTCAAATCTGTACCAGGATGTAGAGAGGGTCATAGGGGCTCTGTGTGCCATGTTTGGTCTTTATTGGTCTTTGTTGGGGGCCACAGTGGTCTGTGGGAACTGAAGGGTTTGAAAGTACTACAAATCCCATCATCCATTATTCATCCTACCCCAAACCTCACCAGAACATAAAGGGGGTCATGGGGGTTATATTTGCCAAGTGTGGTCTTGATCAGTCATTGGATGAGGATCACAGTGGTCTCGGGAAGTGAGTGGAGGTACTTCAAGTCTCATCATCCATGGTGTGCCATCATCCAAAGTGCAGTAGGATGTAGAGTGGGTCATGGGGGCTCTGTGTGCCAAGTTTGGTCTTTATCGGTCTTTGTTGGGGCTCACAGTGGTCTGTGGGAACCGAAGGGTTTGAAAGTACTACAAATCCCATCATCCAGACCAATCATGGCATGAATACTCAATATGCCCAAATGTGAACCTTGGAGGAGTTTGGGGAAAATTGGTATTTGTAGTTTGGTAGTTGTAGTTGCTGGGATTTATAGTTCACCCACAATGAAAGAGCATTCGGAACCCCAGCAATGATAGAATTGGGCCAAACCTTCCACACAGAACCCCTCATGGCCAACAGAAAATACTGTGTTATCTGATGGTCTTTGGTGACCCCTCTGACACCCCCTCACGACCCTCCCCCTGACGTTTGACCCCTAGGTTCAAAAACACTGTTTCAGAGTCTAGGACACATTGGAGCAATGGATTCAAATTGTACAAAAAGAAATTCCACCTAAATATTAGGAAAAGCTACCCGACAGTAAGAGGTTTTCAACAGTGGAGTCTGCTACTGCCTGGGAGTCTGGAGGGTTTGAAGCAGAGGTTGGATGGCCATCTGTTGGGAGGGATTGAATTCTGTCTTCCTTCCTGGCAAAAAAGGGTTGGACTGAATGGCCTTTGGGTGCATCTTCCAACTCTATATAAATAGAAATGTAATGTTCGTTTGTGGGATTAACAGAACTCAAAAACCACTGGACGAATTGACACCAACTTTGGACACAAGACACCTAACAGTCCAATGTATGTCCTTCACTAAAAAAAAATATGATTTTGTCATTTGGGAGTTGTAGTTGCTGGGATTTATAGTTCACCTACAATCAATATGCATTCTGAACTTCATCAATGATGGAATTGAACCAAACTTGGCACACAGTTCTCCCGTGACAAACAGAAAATACTGGAAGGGTTTGGTGGGCAGTGTCCTTTGAATTTGGAGTTGTAGTTCACCTACATCCAAAGAGCATTCTGACACTGACATGATAAATAAATAAAGAGCATTCTGAACCCCACCAATGATGGAATTGAACCACAGTTCTCCCATGACCAACATAAAATACTGGAAGGGTTTGGTGGGCAGTGTCCTTTGGTTTTGGAGTTGTAGTTCACCTACATCCAGAGGTCATTGTGGACTCAAACAATGATGGATCTGGACTAAACTCTACATGAATACTCAATATGCCCAAATGTGAACACTGGTGGAGTTTGGGGAAAATAGAATCTTGACATTTGGGAGTTGTAGTTACTGGGATTTATAGTTCACCTACAATCAAAGAGAATTCTGAACTCCACAAACGATAGAATTGGGCTAATCTTGGCACACAGAACTCCCATGTCCATGAGGAAATACTGGAAGGGTTTGGTGGGCAGTGTCCTTTGGTTTTGGAGTTGTAGTTCACCTACACCCAGAGGTCATTGTGGACTCAAACAATGATGGATCTGGAACAAACTCTACATGAATACTCAATATGCCCAAATGTGAACACTGGTGGAGTTTGGGGAAAATAAAATCTTGACATTTGGGAGTTGTAGTTACTGGGATTTATAGTTCACCTACAATCAAAGAGAATTCTGAACTCCACAAACGATAGAATTGGGCTAATCTTGGCACACAGAACGCCCATGTCCATGAGGAAATACTGGAAGGGTTTGGTGGGCAGTGTCCTTTGGTTTTGGAGTTGTAGTTCACCTACACCCAGAGGTCATTGTGGACTCAAGCAATGATGGATCTGGAACAAACTCTACACGAATACTCAATATGCCCAAATGTGAACACTGGTGGAGTTTGGGGAAAATAGAATCTTGACATTTGGGAGTTGTAGTTGCTGGGATTTAGTTCACCTACAATCACAGAGCATTCTGAACCCCACCAACGATAGAATTGAGCCAAACCTCCCACACAAAACCCCCATTTGGGCCACAACAATGCATGCCAGGGGACAACTAGTCTATATAAATAAACATGTCATGTTCATTTGTGGGATGAACATAATTCAAAAACCACTGGATGAATTGACACCAAATTTGGACACAATAGACCGGTCAGGCCAACAAGTGACCATCACTCATAAAAACACTGAAAAACACAGCGGAAGGGACTTAAAAAGCACATGCACAAAAATGTCTCCCCCGGCAAACAAAACACACAATAGTATATCCACACTCCCTTCCGGACTACAGCTCCTAGCATCCCCTAGACCCGGACCTTTAGGAGAGGAGGATGATCCAAATGCACTGCTTCCAAGCTGCAAGCTTTCCTCTCCTTGGATTTCTTTGAGAGCATCCCAATCCCTGCATATTTCCAGTTTCCTATTTCTGGACTGCAACTCCCAGCAGTCCTCCAGATAGATAATTAGATAGAGCTAGATAGATAGATTGATCAGGAGGACTGTTGGGAGTTGCAGTGCAAGAATAGGTAGAGAAGGAAGAAAGGAGAGAAAAGAGGAAGGAAGGAAGGAAAGGAAGGAAGGAAGGAAGGAAGAAGGAAGGAAGGAAGGAAGGAAGGAAGGAAAAAAAAGAAGGAATGAAAGAAAGAGAGAAAGAGGAAGGGAAAGAAAAGTTGGGGGAAGGAAGGGAGGAAGAAGAGAAGGAAGGAAGGGGAGAAAGAGGAAGGGAAAGAAAAGTTGGGGGAAGGAAGGGAGGAAGAAGAGAAGGAAGGAAGGAAGGAGAGAGAGAAAGAGGAAGGGAAAGAAAAGTTGGGGGAAGGAAGGGAGGAAGAAAAAAGGAAAGAAGGAGGGAAAGGAAGGAAGGAAGGAAGGAAGGAAGGAAGGAAGGAAAAAAAAAAGAGAGAAAGAGGAAGGGAAAGAAAAGTTGGGGGAAGGAAGGGAGGAAGAAGAGAAGGAAGGAAGGAAGGAGAGAGAGAAAGAGGAAGGGAAAGAAAAGTTGGGGGAAGGAAGGGAGGAAGAAAAAAGGAAGGAAGGAGGGAAAGGAAGGAAGGAAGGAAGGAAGGAAGGAAGGAGAGAAACAGGAAGGGAAAGAAAAGTTGGAGGAAGGAAAGGGAGGAAGAAGAGAAGGAAGGAAGGAGAGAAAGAAAGGAAGGAAGGAAGGAGAGAAAGAAAAAGGGAAAGAAAACTTGGGGGAAGGAAGGGAGGAATAAGAAAAGGAAAGAGAGAAAGAAAGGAAGGAAGGAAGGAGAGAAAGAGGAAGGAAAAGAAAAGTTGGGGGAAGGAAGGGAGGAAGAAAAAAGGAAGGAAGGAGGGAAAGGAAGGAAGGAAGGAAGGAAGGAAGGAAGGAAGGAAGGAGAGAAACAGGAAGGGAAAGAAAAGTTGGGGGAAGGAAAGGGAGGAAGAAGAGAAGGAAGGAAGGAGAGAAAGAGAAAGGGAAAGAAAACTTGGGGGGAAGGAAGGGAGGAATCAGAAAAGGAAAGAGAGAAAGAAAGGAAGGAAGGAAGGAAGGAGAGAAAGAGGAAGGAAAAGAAAAGTTGGGGGAAGGAAGGGAGGAAGAGAAAAAGGAAGGAAGGAGGGAAAGGAAGGAAGGAAGGAGAGAAACAGGAAGGGAAAGAAAAGTTGGGGGAAGGAAAGGGAGGAAGAAGAGAAGGAAGGAAGGAGAGAAAGAAAGGAAGGAAGGAGAGAAAGAGAAAGAAAACTTGGGGGGAAGGAAGGGAGGAAGAAGAAAAGGAAGGAGAGAAAGAAAGGAAGGAAGGAAGGAAGAGGAGAAAGAGGAAGGGAAAGAAAACTTGGGGGGAAGGAAGGGAAGAAGAAGAGAAGGAAGAAAGGAGAGAAACAGGAAGGGAAGGAAAAGTTGGGGGGAAGGAAGGGAGGAAGAAGAAAAGAAAGGAAGGAGAGAAAGAAATATAGGAAGGAAGGAAGGAGAGAAAGAGAAAGGGAAAAAAGTTGGGGGGAAGTAAGGGAAGAAGGAGAGAAGGAAGATAGGAGAGAAAGAGGAAGGGAAAGAAAAGGTGGGCAGAGGGAGGAAGGGAAGAAGAAGGAGAGAAGGAAGGAAGGATAGATAGAAAGAAAGAAGAGAAAGAGGGAGGTAAGATTGGCCACAGCAACACGTAGTGGGTTCAGCTAGTATTATCTATAAATGAAAAACCATGATGAGGAACCCAGAAGCACCTTGGAAGGAGGGTCACAGATGGCGGACACGGGACGCTTTTCCTTATTGCCGATATCTCCGTAGGGAATCCCCCACTTCTCTTTTATCTTATCTTTCAGCACCAAAAACAAACCACATCAGCCTTGGCTCTGCTCCTGGAAAACTGCACCTGGGGCTGGAGCCTGCAAACAAACATTGGGAGCATCTCAAAGGTCTTTGGCAGATGCTTTCTAAGGAATGCCGCTCTCCGAGGTCCTGCAAGGACACACTGGGCACCTGGCCTCCTGCCCTTCCTCTCTTCTCCAGCCCTGCACATTCATTCTCTCCACAAGGATCCCGTCTTGTCTGCTCTTCTCCTTTCCTGGCTTTGATCTCTGCTTCTCTGCTTGTTGTTGTTCACTCGTTCAGTCGTCTCCGACTCTTCGTGACCTCATGGACCAGCCCACGCCAGAGCTCCCTGTCGGCCGTTACCACCCCCAGCTCCCTCAAGGTCAGTCCAGTCACTTCAAGGATGCCATCCATCCATCTTGCCCTTGGTCGGCCCCTCTTCCTTTTGCCTTCCACTTTCCCCAGCATCATTGTCTTCTCTAGGCTTTTCTGTCTCCTCAGGATGTGGCCAAAGTACTTCAACTTGGTCTCTAGTATCTTTCCCTCCAGTGAGCAGTCGGGCTTTATTTCCTGGAGGATGGACTGGTTGGATCTTCTCGCAGTCCAAGGCACTCTTCAGCTTCTCTGCTTATCCTTATGCAAACATGCAAAATAGAGGATCATCAATGCAGGCTGGTTTTATTGCAAGTTAACATCCTTTTCTGAAAAAACAACATTTAAAAAAAGCAATCTATAAAGTCTACAAATAAATAGACACCATTGCAAAGGTGCTTCTCCAAGGAGGGAGGAAAGGATATGGTAATATCTGGATGCATGAGGATGAATGTGTGTACATGTGGTGTGACTGCTGAGTCAAAATGTAATCCCCCCTTGTTTGTTTGTTTGTTAACCAATGTACGTGTGCAAAAGATCTTGGAGTCCTTGTGGACAACAAGTTAAACATGAGCCAACAATGTGATGTGGCGGCAAAAAAAGCCAATGATGTTCAGCAGGGACAAATGGAAAAGACTCCACTTAGGCAGGAAAAATGAAATGCAAAGATACACCAAAGAATGGGGGACAATGCCTGGCTCAGGAGCTGTACGTGTGAAAAAGATCTTGGAGTCCTCGTGGACAACAAGTTAAACACGAGCCAGGAATGTGATGTGGCGGCAAAAAAAGCCAATGGGATTTTGGCCTGCATCAATAGGAGCATAGTGTCTAGATCTAAGGAAGTTATGCTCCCCATGCTCTATTCTGCTTTGGTTAGACCACACCTGGAATATTGTGTCCAATTCTGGGCACCACAATTCAAGAGAGATATTGACAAGCTGGAATGTGTCCAGAGGAGGGCGACTAAAATGATCAAGGGTCTGGAGAACAAGCACTATGAGGAGCGGCTTAAGGAGCTGGGCATGTTTAACCTAAAGAAGAGAAGGCTTGGAGGAGATATGATAGCCATGTATAAATATGTGAGAGGAAGCCACAGGGAGGAGGAGGGAGCAAGCTTGTTTTCTGCTTCCTTGGAGACTAGGACGCGGAACAATGGCTTCAAACTACAAGAGAGGAGATTCCATCTGAACATGAGGAAGAACTTCCTGACTGTGAGAGCCGTTCAGCAGTGGAACTCTCTGCCCCAGAGTGTGGTGGAGGCTCCTTCTTTGGAGGCTTTTAAGCAGAGGCTGGATGGCCATCTGTCAGGGGTGCTTTGAATGCAATATTCCTGCTTCTTGGCCGAATGGGGTTGGACTGGATGGCCCAGGAGGTCTCTTCCAACTCTTTGATTCTAGGACTCTAATGTAATTGTGAATCCAATGTAGTTGCATAGAATCTGTATGTCTGTATGTCCAATGCCATTCTATCTCCAAATGTTTTTCTTTCATCTGATCTACCCTCTCACACTGGAAATTGCAATAAAAAGGACCCAGGCTTCAAAGTTATTGAAAAGTCCTTCATGACATGAGTCCATTTCTCCATTGTGTCCTGGGCTCTGGAGAAGCAGAAAACAAGCTTGAAATTCCTGGGTGAAACAAGAAGGCCTCCTTGCTTCGAGGCTCACACATCTCATGGATCTGGCCTTGCCCATGACTGGAAATAGAGCCAGCAGCTGCCCCTCCTTTTTTAATTTTTAACTTTATTTTTTTATTAATTATTTGACACATAGAATCATAGAATCCTAGAATCCTAGAGTGGGAAGAGACCTCCTGGGCCATCCAGTCCAACCCCATTCTGCCAAGAAGCAGGAATATTGCATTCAAATCACCCCTGACAGATGGCCATCCAGCCTCTGTTTAAAAGCTTCCAAAGAAGGAGCCTCCACCACACTCGGGGCAGAGAGTTCCACTGCTGAACGGATCTCACAGTCAGGAAGTTCTTCCTCATGTTCAGATGGAATCTCCTCTCTTGTAGTTTGAAGCCATTGTTCCATTGCGTCCTAGTCTCCAGGGAAGCAGAAAACAAGCTTGCTCCCTCCTCCTCCCTGTGGCTTCCTCTCACATATTTATACACGGCTCTCATATCTCCTCTCAGCCTTCTCTTCTTCAGGCTAAACATGCCCAGCTCCTTAAGCCTCTCATAGGGCTTGTTCTCCAGACCCTTGATCATTTTAGTCGCCCTCCTCTGGACACATTCCAGCTTGTCAATATCTCTCTTGAATTGTGGTGCCCAGAATTGGACACAATATTCCAGGTAAAGTGGTCTAACCAAGGTGGAGTAGAGCATGGGGAGCAGGACTTCCCTGGATCTAGGCACTATGCTCCTCTTGATGCAGGCCAAAATCCCATTGGCTTTTTTTGGCCATAGAATCATAGAATCATAGAATCAAAGAGTTGGAAGAGACCTCCTGGGCCATCATCCAGTCCAACCCCATTCTGCCAAGAAGCACGGAATATTGCATTCAAATCACCCCTGACAGATGGCCATCCAGCCTCTGTTTAAAAGCTTCCAAAGAAGGAGCCTCTACCACACTCTGGGGCAGAAAGTTCCACTGCTGAACGGCTCTCGCAGTCAGGAAGCCACATCACATTCCTGGCTCATGTTCAACTTCCTCCCAACGAGGACTCCAAGATCTTTTTCACACGTCCTGCTCTCGAGCCAGGCATCATCGTCCCCCATTCTGTCTCTTTGCATTTTGTTTTTTTCTGCCTAAGTGGAGTATCTTGCATTTGTCAATTGGAAATTGCAATAAGAAGAACTTAGGTTTCAAAGTTATTGAAAAGTCCTTCATGACATGAGTCCATTTCTCCATGGCGTCCTAGTCTCTGGAAAAGCAGAAAACAGGCTTGAAATTCCTGGGTGAAACAAAGAGGCCTCCTTGCTTAGAGACTCACCCATCTTGTGGATCTGGCCTTGCCATTACTGGAAATAGGCTCCCCCCATCTCATAGCTCTGACCTTGCCCATTACTGGAAGTACCGAGCCAGCAGCTGTCCCTCCTTATCGCTTTCCCATCCTTTAAGGACTCTATCTTCTTCCCTTGACCTTAATGTTGGACGTCTTGCAGGTGCAAATGCTGCATTCCCATGGGAAGGTGTGGGGCAGGTGGACCAAGTTCCTGGGGACATAAAAACCCAGCCTGGAAAGTGCAGAACCTTAGACTACACTTCCTTTCAGAGGTGAGAACAATTCCCTTTGGTGTATCCACCATTCTTCCCTTTGGCAATAAAATAACTTTTGGATGGGGTGGAATGTGTTTGCATAGGTTGTTAGTTCTCATTACGACAATGCTAAGCAAATGGGTTGTTGTGGGTTTTTTCGGGCTATATGGCCATGTTCTAGAGGCATTCTCTCCTGCCGTTTCACCTGCATCTATGGCAAGCATCCTCAGAGGTTGTGAGGTCTGTTGGAACTAGGAAAAAGGGTTTATATATCTGTGGAATGACCAGGGTGAGACAAAGGACTCCTGTCTGCTGGAGCTAGGTGTGAATGTTTCAACTGACCACCTTGATTAGCATATAATGGCCTGACTGTGCCTGGAGCAATCTTTTGTTGAGAGGTGATTAGATGTCCTTGTTTGTTTCCTCTCTGTTGTTGTGCTGTTGTAATTTTAGAGTTTTTTAATAGTGGTAGCCAGATTTTGTTCATTTTCATGGTTTCCTCCTTTCTGTTGAAATTGTCCACACGCTTGTGTATTTCAATGGCTTCTCTGTGTAGTCTGACATGGTGGTTATGAGAGTGGTCTAGCATTCATACTTAGCTCCAGCAGACAAAAGTCCTTTGTCCTACCCTGGTCTTTCCACAGATATATAAACCCATTGTCCTAGTTCCAACAGACCTCACAACCTCTGAGGATGCTTGCCATAGATGCAGGCAAAACGTCAGGAGAGAATGCCTCTAGACCATGGCCATATAGCCCAAAAAATCCTACAAAAACCCAGTGATTCCAGCCATGAAAGCCTTCAACAAAACAATGCTAAGCAAGCTTGCTAAGGCGCATCTCCACTGTAGAGTTAAATGCAGTTTGATACTACTTGGACTGCCATGGCTCAATGCTATAGAATCCTGGGAGTTGTAGTTTGGTAATGCACCAGTGCTCTTGGTCGTGCCAGTCAAAGTGGTGTCAAAATGCATTCATTCTACAATATAGATGCACCAAAAACATTAGGGGGAAAGAGGAGATGATGATGATAAATGATCGCTCTGTAATAGAGGCCAAAGTAGAGACCAGTCGTGTTAATGCAGGTCTACTCATTTGTGTTTAATGGCATATGTGTGACTTTAAAATGGTGAGAATCTAATGCGTTCCTGTCAAATTATTTAGAAGGGTTTTGCTTTGGAAGAGTGGAGAAACAGGGAGTGGGGTGCTAGAAGGAGAAGAAGGATGAGGATGAAGAAGTGGAGGATAAAAAGGTTAAAAAAAAGAGGAAAGAAGGAGTGAGAAGATCAAGGTTGCTATGAAAACTGCAGGGGAGAGAGGGAAGACAACTGGGAGAGGTGGGGAGAATCAGAGAATCAAAAGAGACCACTTGGGCCATCTAGTCCAGGCATGGGCAAACTTCGGCCCTCCAAGTATTTTGGACCTCAACTCCCAGAAATCCCAACCAGGTCACTGGTTCTTAAGAATGGTAGGAGCTGAAGTCCAAAACACCTAGAATCCTAGAATCCTAGAGTTGGAAGAAACCTCTTGGGCCATCCAGTCCAACCCCATTCTGCCAAGAAGCAGGAATATTGCATTCAAAGCATCCCTGACAGGTGGCCATCCAGCCTCTGTTTCAATGCTTTGAAAGAAGGAGTCTCCACCATGCTCCAGGGCAGAGAGTTCCACTGCTGAACAGTTCTCACAGTCAGGAAGTTCTTCCTCATGTTCAGGTGGAATCTCCTTTCTTGTAGTTTGAAGCCATGGCCCCATTGCATCCTAGTCTCCAGGGCAGAAGAAAACAAGCTTGCTCCCTCCTCCTCCCTGTGGCTTCCTCTCACATATTTATACATGGCTCTCATCATATCTCCTCTCAGGCTTCTCGTCTTCAGGCTAAACATGCCCAGCTCTTTAAGCCGCTCCTCATATGGCTTGTTCTCCAGACCCTTGATCATTTTAGTCACCCTCCTCTGGACACATTTCACTCTTGGAAGGTCCCTGCGTGCAGCTTAATCCCAGCGTCCAAATGATGTGGGCTCACCTTAATCACAGTGGTTGGGAATCAATCCAAGGTCCTGGTCCTGCTCAACATTGAGGGGATTAATAGCCACTCCCCTCCTTTGCAAGCCATAGCAACCTCAGGGAGAAATGTACATGTACATATCATGTTGTTTCTTGTTCTGAAATATGAGAAAGGACACGTGGAAGTGCATTCATGTATCCAACCTTAACCTTCAGTTCAGTTCTGAAACATAAGAACTGAGTCCAGTATGACATCCTGGTTGGTTTCCTTGGAGGAGAAGACAGTGGGGACTATGTATTGTCGAAGGCTTTCATAGCTGGTTGCTGTAAGTTTTTTCGGGCTATATGGCCATGTTCTAGAGGCATTCTCTCCTGACGTTTCGCCTGCATCTATGGCAAGCATCCAGGCAAGCAGGCAAAACGTCAGGAGACAATGCCTCTAGAACATGGCCATATAGTCCAAAAAAACTTACAGCAATGCAGTGGGGACTTTTCATGCTTGTTGTTCTTTTCCAGAAGAACCAAAGATGGCACCAGTGTTCTACTTTGGGCTCTGCCTCCTGGGCTGCCTGGCCTTTAGCCCCTCCACTGAAGGTAAGCATTGGGGCTTGGACAAAGCACAGGAGAATAAATGCAGTCTGACACTCCTTGGGCTGTCATGGCTCAATCATGTTGTTTGGTGAGTTGCAATTTGGGGAGGGGCAGAAGGCAAAAGACTTCATAAAGAGGGTTCCATAGCATTGAGTCATAGCAAGTCAAGTGGCATCCATCCATTCAATGGTATACATCCCCATAATGATGGGTTAGAGCCAACTATTCAAATAATCACGAACAAATTTGGAATAGGATTAAAAATATCACAAGCCAAATGTATTTGGATAATTATACAAAGATAATAATAAATGATGGAATCACTGGAGAAAAATAACACAAGGCACAAGGCAAGGATGTCCTATGCCTCCCATATTACGTTTGGCAGGGACAAGAGACAGGGCCTTCCCTGTGGTGGCCCCTCGGCTATGGAGTGCCCTCCCTAAGGAGATTAGATTGGTTCCTTCACTCCTAACGTTTCAGAGATAAGTTAAGACATGGTTATATGAGCAAGCGTTTACAAATGCAGAGTAACTGACATAGGAAATGGGATCACTTGACAATGGAATTTGGACAACGTTTCAACTAGGAGATGCTGATGATAATTGATGTTGGTTTTATTGTTTCTATTGTTTTTAATTGTGGTTTTATATTGTTTTATGTGTACTGACTTGTTCTAAACCTCCTTGAGTCACCAATAGGATGAGAAAGGCGGTATACAAGTGTAGTAAGTAAGTAAATAAATAAATATTTTTGTGATGGTTATGGAATTTTTGGCCAATGTAATAAGAGAAGACAATGAATTAGAAGGCATAGGAACAAAGTTAGGAAAAATTAGCTTATTTGCAGATGACACATTGATAACAATTAAGGAGATAATGAAGAAAGTGGAGATAATTAAGAAACATTTAACAGAATTTGAATGGGTGACCAGATTGAAGATATATTGGAATAAATCAGAAGCAATGCTATTTAATTATACTAAGCATGAAAAATAATGAGCTAGAATATGATGGATGGATGGACTGAACTCATGTCTCTGTTTTGGGCTCCTGTAGCATTAAGAAGCGGACATGCCTATTCTTCTTTTCTAAAAGGGATCCGGGGTCTCTTGCAGGGGTCAGGGATCTGTCGTTACCTCGCCCTCGGTCCCCATGTCCTGCTGGAACTCTTTACTACCGAAAAATGTGCTATGAATATCTGAGTGATCTTCTCTCCTGGGAAGATGCTGAGGTATGTGCCAGATTTTAACCCAACAACCCCAGTTAAGCGAACCCAAGGAGGATATTGAATGGTCCAGATCTTTCTAGAAGGGAAAAGAACTCCCAGGCACAGTGATGTTATAAAATCCATACAATTGTGGGTTTGACTTTTACTGATTTCCCCATTTGCTGATTGGATTAAAATGTGCTCTGTTAGTTCTTATTGCGAGTATAGAATGTTTCTTTTGGGATCACCTATCATATACTTGAAGAATTGTCATCAGGTGGGATGATTTAAAGTATCCAGTTCAATTGTATGGAACCATCTGGAGGTATACCAGGGTGGTGCTGTGGTCAACATCTATCAGAGGTTAGCTAAAAATGGCAAATAGAAATGTTTTAAGAACTGAGCCATTGGGTGTTACCAACCAAACTCCAGCAGTTTAACCCATGAGTCCACCTTAGTTGGTACAAGCCAATGGGACTGTGGCCAAGACCTCATTCTGGAACCCTTGGAGATCTAAGGTGACCATTTGCAAGGTAAAGAAGTCACTTATTTGGGCTGAAAGAAGACTTGAATGAAGCCCTTATTTCGTTTGGAGCCTTGCCTCCTGCAACTGGGCTTCCTTTCCTCTTTACTGGGAAGACCGCTTGGGTTTCTGGCAAAGAGACCGAGGATTGAGGGCCTGACCCGGTGAGCCTGCTATCAAACCATATTTTATGTTTTCTCCCTCTCTCCATGCAGGATTACTGCGAGTATTGGCGAGACGGTCACTTAGCTTCCATTCAGTCAAAAGCAGAAGAAAATATTATTTCCAAATACATCAAGAAAACTAACAACCCATCCGGGGTCTGGATTGGTTTCCACGCCACACCTCAATCCTCGGTGAGCAAGAACCACTGGAAGACATTGCGAGGGGGGCCTCCACTTTCATAGAATCATAGAAACATAGAATTCAAGAGTTGAAAGAGACCCCGTGGGCCATCCAGTCCAACCCCTTTCTGCCAAGAAGCATTCAAAACACCCCCAACAGATGGACATCAAGCCTCTGTTTTAAAGCCTCCATAGAAAGAGCTTCCACCATACTCCAGGGAAGAGAGTTCCACTGCTGAACAGCTCTCACAGTCTGGAAGTTCTTCCTCATGTTCAGGTGGAATATCCTTCCTTTCCTGTAGTTTGAAGCCATGGCTCCATTGCATCCTTTTTTTTTTTGATAGAGTTACAAGCTGGGTAGTTGCGGGGAATGCCGTGGATGTAGCGTACCTGGGTTTCAGGAAAGCCTTCTTTGACAAGGTCCCCCATGACCTTCTGGCAAGGAAACTAGTCCAATGTGGGCTAGGCAAAACTACGGTGAGGTGGATCTGTAATTGGTTAAGTGGACGAACACAGAGAGTGCTCACTAATGCTTCCTCTTCATCTTGGAAAGAAGTGACGAGCGGAGTGCCGCAGGGTTCCGTCCTGGGCCCGGTCCTGTTCAACATCTTTATTAACGACTTAGATGAAGGGCTAGAAGGCAGGATCATCAAGTTTGCAGACGACACCAAATTGGTGAGGTGGATCTGGAATTGGTTAAATGGACGAACCCAGAGGGTGATTCTCCCCAAGGCTTCCTCCTCTTCATCCTGGAAAGAAGTGACGAGCAGAGTGCCATCCGCAGGGTTCTGTCCTGGGCCTAGTCCTGATCAGGATCTTTATCAATGACTTAGACCAGTGGTTCTCAACCTCATCTGTGGGTCCCCATATGTTTTGGCCTACAACTCCCAGAAATCTCAGCCAGTTTACCAACTGCTAGGGTTTCTGGGAGTTGAAGGCCAAAACATCTGGGGAACCACAGATTGAGAACCACTGACTTAGATGAAGGGTTAGAAGGCATGATCATCAAGTTTGCAGATGGGACCAAATTGGGAGGGAGAGCAAAGACTCCAGAGGACAGGAGCAGGATTCAAAGGGATCTCAACAGATTAGAGAGATGACTGGCCAAAACTAACAAAATGAAGTTCAACGGGGACAAATGCAAGATACTCCACTTTGGCAGGAAAAACGAAATGCAAAGGTATAGAATGGGGGATGCCTGGCTCGAGAGCAGTACGTGTGAAAAAGATCTTGGAGTCCTCGTGGACAACAAGTTAAACATGAGCCAACAATGTGATGTGGCGGCAAAAATAGCCAATGGGATTTTGGCCTGCATCAAGAGGAGCCTAGTGTCTAGATCTAGGGAAGTCATGCTCCCCATGCTCTATTCTCCTTTGGTTAGACCACACCTGGAATATTGTGTCCAATTCTGGGCATCACAATTGAAGAGAGATTGACAAGCTGGAATGTGTCCAGAGAAAGGTGACCAAAATGATCAAGGGCCTAGAAAACAAGCCCTATGAGGAGCGGCTTAAGGAGCTGGGAATATTTAGCCTGAAGAAGAGAAGGCTGAGAGGAGACAGGAAAGCCATGTAGAAATATGTGAGATGAAGCCACAGGGAGGAGGGAAAAAGCTTGTTCTCTGCTTCCCTGGAGACTAGGACGCAATGGAGCAATGGCTTCAAACTACAAGAGAGGAGATTCCATCTGAACACAAGGAAGAACTTCCTGACTATGAGAGCCGTTCAGCAGTGGAACTCTCTGCCCCGGAGTGTGGTGGAGGCTCCTTCTTTGGAAGCTTTCAAACAGAGGCTGGATGGCCATCTGTCAGGGGTGATTTGACTGCAATATTCTTGCTTCTTGGCAGAATGGGGTTGGACTGGATGGCCCGGGAGGTCTCTTCCAACTCTTTGCTTCTATGATTCTATGAATGGAAACCTCTTACTCCCTCTGCTGACTTTGAGCCCCCCTCCATTCATTAAAACGTGCTTTTCTCTCTGCCACTGAATGCACAAAAGGTCAAGTGGGAATGGACTGACGGCTTGGCATACCCTCCTGGATCTGCACTTTGGGACGGCAGGAAACCCAGCACCAGCACATCCAACCAGTGCATTGCACTCGTCAATATGCAGCAGCCAACAGGTGCGTATAGAGGCAATTGCCAGGCAAATTCCTAGCTTGGGGACTCGGCGGTGCCCAGGTTATTTGAGAAAGGCATTGTTTGTCTGTGATCCAAATTGAACCTAGATCCAATGTCAGCTGAGTTGAGTGGGTGTGGGTTAACTACAACTCCCGTATGAAAGTCCCATCATTCATAGCCCCTCCCCCCTCCAAACTGCACCAGGATGTAGAGTGGGTCATGGGGGCTCTATGTGCCAAGTTTGGTCTCGATCAGTTGTTGGTGTGTGTGTCACAGTGGTCTCAGGAAGTGAGTGAAGGTACTGCAAGTCCCACGCATGATCCATGGTCCATCATCCCATAAGCCACAGCAGGATGTACATTGGGTTATGTGGGCTCTGTATGCCAAGTTTGAGCTTGATCAGTCATTGGTGTGGGTAGGAATGGTCTCAAGAAGTGAGTGAAGATACTGCAGTTCCCATCAATTCCTGGGAGTAGAGAAACTCTCTGCTGCTTGGTTAGGACATCATGAGTTGTGAGGGGGAAGCAACAAATTGGGGGTATGAGGGCATTTTTATCATTGTATTGTCGAAGGCTTTCATGGCCGGAATCACTGGGTTGTTGTAGGTTTTTTCGAGCTATATGGCCATGTTCTAGAGGCATTTTCTCCTGACATTTTGCCTGCATCTATGGCAAGCATCCTCAGAGGTAGTGAGGTCTGTTGGAACTAGGCAAAAGAGTTTATATATCTGTGGAATGGCCAGGGTGGGACAAAGGACTCTTGTCTGCTGGAGCTGGGTGTGAATGTTTCAACTGACCACCTTGATTAGCATTTGATGGCCTGGCAGTGCCTGGGGCAAACTTTTGTTGAGAGGTGATTAGATGTCCCTGATTGTTTCCTCTCTGTTGTTGTGCTGTTGTAATTTTAGAGTTTTTTTAATACTGGTAGCTGGATTTTGTTCCTTTTCATGGTTTCCTCCTTTCTGTTGCAATTGTCCACATGCTTGTGGATTTCAATGGCTTCTCTGGGTAATCTGACATGATGGTTGTTGGAATGTTGCTAATTAAGGTTGTCAGTTGAAACATTCACACCTAGCTCCAACAGACAATAGTCCTTTGTCCCACCCTGGTCATTACACAGATATATAAACCCTTTTTCCTAGTTCCAACAGACCTCACTACCTCTGAGGATGCTTGTCATAGATGCAGGCGAAATGTCAGGAGAGAATGCCTCTAGAACATGGCCATAGAGCCCGAAAAAACCTACAGCAACCCATTTTTATCATTGTCCCCTCTTTTGTCCCTTTGCTTTACAGTTCCTGTCAGGTGGTCACAGCAAAACTGCTACAGCTTATATCCATACGTGTGCAAGTTCTCAGCAGCAAACTAGGCCTCAACAACACTTGAGTCATGAAGAGAGGACGTCCTTTGAGATCCAGGGAAAGAAGGCTGCCTCTAGCAACACTGCAAATTTCCCAAACTTCTTCAGCATCAAGAAGCGACCAGGCCCTTCTCCTGTTCCTGGGGGTCTCTCTCAAAACCCAATTGCAATATTCTTTTCTTCCCATGTATTGCCCAATGTCTGTACCTTTCCCTACTTTTGATTCCTCCCACTCTATAATCCCAGTTTGCTTTGTCAATCCTGCTCAAAGAAGGTGAATCCCAGCCTGCTCTTCCTTCCATGGCAAAAGGTGTGCCTCTCCAGAGCCCCCTCCTTGCTTTGGCATGGAACAAACCTCCGGGCTCAGAGCAAACCTCTTCTAATGAAGGACATCCTCCCCTGGCAGAATCTATAGTTTTCCATGTGGGACATGAAGATGAGAAAAAAGCCAACGAACCACATGGGTGGGTTGGGTTGGGGTGTTGGCCTCTGCCAGGCTTTTGTCTTCCTTGCTGTTCCTCTTCCCCTGAGATAATAATAAATCCTTTTCTGAGCATACATCTCTGAGAATATCTCCTTGGTTTCCATCCAGACACCTTTGGGTTGGCATCTCAAAGAATGCTATAATAATAATAATAATAATAATAATAATAATAATAATAATGCTATTTTCCCATCTTCTGAAAACTGGCAGGATGTTTTTCTCTGCAAGCTGTTTCAACCAACTACGCACAGTTTATTTATTTATTTATTTATTTACTCCATTTGTATACCGCATATATCAGCCTAAAGCGGCGACTCTATGCGGTTTACAGTAAAAAACAACACTAAACAATGTATAAGACACACAATACAAACAACACATAATCATCAACGCCACACTTAGAATCAGAATACCGATCTCATAATCCATTTCCATTCCTTGTCCAATGCCGTCATTATTGAATTGGTTGTTACTGCATAGACTATCCGAATGCCTGCTCATTTGAATTGCCTTGACTTGATGCTGTGAAATCCTGGGAGTTGTAGTATGGTGTGTTGGTTATTTGACCTCAGCGGGTCTGCTAAGAGGCACAAAACAAATAAAGCGTATTGCCTTCTATAATGGAAATAAAGGGTCAAAGCTTGGGCAGGGTGGTCAAACAATCCCACCACTGCCACCAGTATAATAAAAATAAAGGGTCCAAACGTTGACCTTTCTGACTTTGGCAGGGGGGAAGACTTTTCAATCCCACCACTGACACCCAGTGTAAAATAATTAGCAGCTGACCATAGGTTAAAGTTATCATTGACCGATGTTTTTGGTAGATATGACTGCCACCACCTCAGCTTTATTGGTGTGAGGAACCAAAAGGTGTGAGTGCGTTGTAGGTAAATTGTGTTTGCCCTTGGTTCTTCTGTAACTGCTTCTTTACTGGCTGACTGGACTTTAAAAGTGCTTGACAGACTTAGTTCTGAGGAGATTTGACAGACTGAAGCTGACACCAGTTAACAGTGAACTAGAAAAGGTTTATTTAACTTTAAACAAATATCTACTCATAGAATGAGTGGTACAGCAGCTTGATTCAGTTGTTGAGGCTTGGTATATTTAAACAAATAGTTTCACTGACAGTAAAGCTTTTAATACTGTGAGTTCCCTTAAACACACTGCTCTATTCTTAGAAACAGTATCTACTGGAGAACAAATCCCTATCTTTCTCACACACAGGGCAATAAGCTCTCTTATACTTTCCCTAAGTATAAGAAGACAAGTCTTTCTTTTACTGGTCCTCTCAACACAGTAAAACCCTAGCTCTTGTCTCAATCTTATTCCCTATCCTTAAGGCTCACTTTAAAACTCTTCTTCTCTGTCAGAACCCTATTCTAGCTTCCTCTCCTAAAATCCCTTCCTTCTGTGTCTGATGTCAAGACACTTCTCTCCTGTCAAAAGCTGACAGCCTCTTTCCCTCTCTCAACCGACTCCTCCCCTAATTGCTCTGACCAATCAGGAGTCGGCTTGACTCCTCCTCCTGCTTCTGCCTGTCTTTCAAGATGACAGCTACTGATACTCAGGCTCCGGCCTGGTCGCCTAAAAGGTAGATTTCACTACACCTCCATTCAGCTCCAAAGCACGGAGCGGCACTTAAAGATTTATTGCTATTTCTAGAAACTACAAAACCTATATTTTTTATTATTATTTTATTTAAAAGTTTTGTATACCGGCCTTCTCACCTCTCTTGAGGGACTCAGACCGGTTTCCAACCATAATATCACATACAGTTAATAAAAACATAATAATTCATTTTACACTAAAACATTAAAACAGCAATTACATTCAATAACTACAATGGTCAGTCGTCACACTAACTCATTGTTCATCATCCTCCATCCATATCTGGCTCACTCGTCGAATGCCTGTCTCCATAACCAAGTCTTCACCTGTTTCCTGAATGTCAGGATAGACGGGGCAGTTCTGATCTCCTGTGGGAGAGAGTTCCAGAGTCGAGGGGCCACCACTGAGAAGGCCCTGTTCCTCGTCCCCACCAGGCGTGCTTGCGAGGCCGGTGGGACCGAGAGCAGGGCCTCTCCAGACGATCTTAGTAATCTTGATAGTTCGTAGGGGAGAATATGTTCGGACAGGTAAACAGGGGGAGAGAGTTCCAGAGTCGAGGGGCCACCACCGAGAAGGCCCTGTCCCTCATCCCCACCAGACGCGCTTGCGAGGCCGGTGGGACCGAGAGCAGGGCCTCTCCAGACGATCTTAATAATCTTGATGGTTCATAGGGGAGAATACGTTCGGAGAGGTAAACAGGGCCGGAGTCGTTTACAGAGTCGCGGGGCCACCACCGAGAAGGCCCTGTCCCTCGTCCCCACCAGACGCGCTTGCGAGGCCTGTGGGACCGAGAGCAGGGCCTCTCCAGACGATCTTAATAATCTTGATGGTTCATAGGGGAGAATACGTTCGGAGAGGTAAACAGGGCCAGAGTCGTTTAGGGGACCACCACCGAGAAGGCCCTGTCCCTCGTCCCCACCAGACGCGCTTGCGAGGCCGGTGGGACCGAGAGCAGGGCCTCTCCAGACGATCTTAGTAATCTTGATGGTTCATAGGGGAGAATATGTTCGGAGAGGTAAACAGGGGGAGAGAGTTCCAGAGTCGAGGGGCCACCACCGAGAAGGCCCTGTCCCTCGTCCCCACCAGACGCGCTTGCGAGGCCGGTGGGACCGAGAGCAGGGCCTCTCCAGACGATCTTAGTAATCTTGATGGTTCATAGGGGAGAATACGTTCGGAGAGGTAAACAGGGGGAGAGAGTTCCAGAGTCGAGGGGCCACCACCGAGAAGGCCCTGTCCCTCGTCCCCACCAGACGCGCTTGCGAGGCCGGTGGGACCGAGAGCAGGGCCTCTCCAGACGATCTTAATAATCTTGATGGTTCATAGGGGAGAATACGTTTGGAGAGGTAAACAGGGAGAGAGAGTTCCAGAGTCGAGGGGCCACCACCGAGAAGGCCCTGTCCCTCGTCCCCACCAGACGCGCTTGCGAGGCCGGTGGGACCGAGAGCAGGGCCTCTCCAGACGATCTTAGTAATCTTGATGGTTCATAGGGGAGAATATGTTCGGAGAGGTAAACAGGGGGAGAGAGTTCCAGAGTCGAGGGGCCACCACCGAGAAGGCCCTGTCCCTCGTCCCCACCAGACGCGCTTGCGAGGCCGGTGGGACCGAGAGCAGGGCCTCTCCAGACGATCTTAGTAATCTTGATGGTTCATAGGGGAGAATACGTTCGGAGAGGTAAACAGGGGGAGAGAGTTCCAGAGTCGAGGGGCCACCACCGAGAAGGCCCTGTCCCTCGTCCCCACCAGACGCGCTTGCGAGGCCGGTGGGACCGAGAGCAGGGCCTCTCCAGACGATCTTAATAATCTTGATGGTTCATAGGGGAGAATACGTTTGGAGAGGTAAACAGGGAGAGAGAGTTCCAGAGTCGAGGGGCCACCACCGAGAAGGCCCTGTCCCTCGTCCCCACCAGACGCGCTTGCGAGGCCGGTGGGACCGAGAGCAGGGCCTCTCCAGACGATCTTAGTAATCTTGATGGTTCATAGGGGAGAATACCTTCGGAGAGGTAAACAGGGGGAGAGAGTTCCAGAGTCGAGGGGCCACCACCGAGAAGGCCCTGTCCCTCGTCCCCACCAGACGCGCTTGCGAGGCCGGTGGGACCGAGAGCAGGGCCTCTCCAGACGATCTTAATAATCTTGATGGTTCATAGGGGAGAATACGTTCGGAGAGGTAAACAGGGAGAGGTCCAGAGTCGAGGGGCCACCACCGAGAAGGCCCTGTCCCTCGTCCCCACCAGACGCTTGCGAGGCCGGTGGGACCGAGAGCAGGGCCTCTCCAGACGATCTTAATAATCTTGATGGTTCATAGGGGAGAATACCTTCGGAGAGGTAAACAGGGGGAGAGAGTTCCAGAGTCGAGGGGCCACCACCGAGAAGGCCCTGTCCCTCGTCCCCACCAGACGCGCTTGCGAGGCCGGTGGGACCGAGAGCAGGGCCTCTCCAGACGATCTTAATAATCTTGATGGTTCATAGAGGAGAATACGGTTCTGATCTCCAGTGGGAGAGAGTTCCAGAGTTGAGGGGCCACCACCGAGAAGACCCTGTCCCTCGTCCCCACCAGACGCGCTTGCGAGGCAGGTGGGACCGAGAGCAGGGCCTCTCCAGACGATCTTAATAATCTTGATGGTTCGTAGGGGAGAATACGTTCGGAGAGGTAAAAAAGGGAGAGAGTTCCAGAGTCGAGGGGCCACCACCGAGAAGGCCCTGTCCCTCGTCCCCACCAGACGCGCTTGCGAGGCGGTGGGACCGAGAGCAGGGCCTCTCCAGACGATCTTAATAATCTTGATGGTTCATAGGGGAGAATACGTTCGGAGAGGTAAACAGGGCCGGAGTCGTTTAGGGCTTTATAGGTTAACACCAGCACTTTGAATTGTGCTCGGAAGCTAATTGGCAGCCAGTGGAGCTGGTGTAACAGCGGAGTGGTGTGCTCCCTGTACCCAGCACCCGTTAGTAGTCTGGCTGCCGAGCGTTGGACTAGCTGCAGCTTCCGGGCAGTCTTCAGAGGCAACCCCACGTAGAGAGCGTTGCAGTAGTCTAAACGGGATGTAACCAAAGCGTGGACCACCGTGGCCAAGTCAGACTTCCCAAGGTACGGGCGCAGCTGGCGCACAAGTTTTAATTGTGCAAAAGCTCCCCTGACCACCGCCGAAACCTGGGGTTCCAGGCTCAGCGATGCATCTAGGAGAACTCCCAAATATACAGAAGTAGCCAAAGACACATCTTTCCTCTTGGCCGTACATTGCTGGAAGAGAACATGTGCTGTTATCTCATCTCTGAAATGTGTGACGCGACAGAGACTGTCCAAAGTTATGCTCTAATAATAATAATAATAATAATAATAATAATAATAATAATACTTTATTTGTACCCTGCTACCATCTCCCCAAGGTGCGGCTTACATGAGGCTGAGCCCACAATACATCAGCAAAAACAACAACAACAGTAATACAAAACAATGAATTAAAACTCATA